CCTTGTCGGCGAGAACTACCTCTTCCACGCTGCTGCTTGGTCGCGATACTACACTCTTCTTCGTCAGTCCTCTGTCCTGGTAGCCACTGGCCAGGGCAAGAAGGCTGACAACCCCCCTGCCTCCGATGCTGAGCTTCAAAAGGCCGCCTCGTTCGTTGTGCTCTCCGCCCTTGCCATCCCTGTCATCAGTACATCCCGATCTCGAGGTGCCATGGTTGACTTCGACGAGGCCAGAAAGAACAAGAACTCTCGCTTGACTCACCTCCTTGGAATGTCTCAAGCACCTACTCGTGCCAGACTGTTCCGGGACGCTCTCTCAAAGTCCCTTCTTCAGCGCGCTCGCCCTGAGATTCGGGAGCTTTACGAGATCCTTGAGGTCGACTTCCATCCTCTGTCCATTTGTCAGAAGATCTCTCCTATCCTGACCAAGATTGGAGCCGATTCTGAGATGGAGAAATACATTCTCCCCCTGCAGCAGGTCATCCTTACCCGTCTGTTCCAGCAGCTTTCCCAGGTCTACGAAACTGTCGACCTGTCTTTCGTCGAGAGCCTGGCTCAATTCCCGGAGCCTTACCAGGTCACTCGTGGAACTATTGAGAAGTTCATCATGAATGGTAACAAGAAGGGTGATCTCTCTGTCCGCATGGCCCATGCCACAGGTGTTCTGAGTTTCGATAACGATGTCTTCTCTTCCTCCAAGGCTAGCCACGGCGGGTCCTCTGCTGGTTCTGCAGAGTCTGAGACCGGTACCGTCCAGCGTCTTCAGAGCACTCCCTCTGAGATCGTCCGCTCCCAGCTTACCCGCCTCGCCAAGTCTCTCTTCACCACTTGCCATTACGTTGACCCTGGCTTTAACAAGGGGCGCCTCGAGGCTCGTGAAGCTGCTCTCGCTCGCGCCAAGGCTGGTGCTGAGGAGGAACATCTGGCTATTCTTTCACGAAAGGACCTCATCCAGAAGCGCAAGGAGGTTGCTTCTGAGATCCAAGCCAAGAAGGAGAAGGAGAATGCCCGCCAGAAGAGGCTTCGTGAGCAAGCTCTTCAAGAAGCTGAGGATCTTCGTCTCGCCAATGAGCAAAAGGAGCGTGAAGCCAAGCGCCTCAAGGCTGAGCGCGACCGAGTTCGCAAGGAGGAACTCAAGAAGCAGATCGCCGATCTCAAAATTGGTGACAAGGCTATCGATATTGATCTGGAGGATCTTGACAACCTTGACAGCAACCGCCTACGCGCAATGAAGCTGGCTCAGCTTGAGCGTGAGAAGAATGATGTTAACGAGCGTCTCCGCATCACTGGCAAGCGCCTCGATCATCTTGAACGTGCTTTCCGTAAGGAGGAAGCCAAGAAACTGCACGAGGACTATGCCAAGCAAAATGAGCAGGACCGCAAGATCTATGAGACTGTTAAGGCCCAAACCCTCAAGGATGCTGAGCAGAAACACAAGGAGAGTGTTGAACTCAAACACCGACTTAGTCGACTGGTGCCTCAGTACGAGGAGTTCCGTGACTCCCTGCATGAACGCCGTCGTGATGAGTTCGAGAAGCGCCGTCGCGATGCTGAGCGTGAGCTTGAGAAGCAGATCGCACAGCGCAAGAAGGAGGTCCGAGACCGACGTCTTCGTGAGAAGCGTGAGCGCGAGGAGAAAGAGCGCGAGCTACGTGAGGCTGAAGAGCGCGCTGCTCGCGAGAAGGAGGAGCAGCGCATTCGGGATGAAGCTCGTAAGGAAGAGCTTGCCAAGCTCAAAGAGCAGCGGGAGAAGGAACGTCAAGAGATGCTGGAGAAGGCTGCCCTTCAACAGCGACGCGAAGAAGAAGCACTGGCTCGTCGCAAGGCGGAGAAGGCCCAAGGGGCTGGTGGCTTCTCCCGTGGACCAGAGCGCACAGATTCGTCCGAGGGCCGAAGACCACCTGTCTTTGGTGCTGGCAAATGGCGAGAACGTGAGGCGGCCACTCGTGACGCTGGCGATGCTCCTCCTCCTTCTCGAGCACCTCCTGCCGAGAGGTCTGATTCCAATGACCGACCTTCTGCTGGTGGTCCTCCCAAGCTCAACCTTGCTGGTTCCAAGCCCAGCTGGCGAGAGCGTGAGGCTGCAAAGCAGGCCGCTGGTGGCGGAGCTGATGTTGGATCTTCCGCCCCTCCCCCTCGCTTCGCGCCTCGGGGTGGTGCGCCGCCTATGGACCGAAGCGGCTCTGGGCGTGCTGATGAGGATCGAAAGCAGTCTCCAGCTCCTCCTGCGGAATCCCTGCCTGCCTCACGAGGCAAGTGGGTTCCTCCTCACATGAGGAACAAATAAGAGATGCAGATAAGGGGAAGAGATCGCAGTCAGGCATGCATAGTTTGCGATTCAGGCGTTCAGGATTTGGTTTCTTGTTCTCCGTAGCATGGAAGGAAAAGTAGTAGTAGTATGAATCAATTCAAGACTAAGCGCATACGAGCACCGTGTTACAACCTTTTTTTTTTTTCAAGAGTCAAGCTCATTGGTTATCTAAGGGACAGGATAGATCATGAGGTAGACGAATGATGACTTCTTACAACTTTAACAAACAATTAAGTGCCACAGCCTTTCTAGACCTGTTGTTTATTAGTCTGCATTCCTCGTACCTGGACAAACTCTGTCGGTGGTCAAGGTGGCTGTCAAGTTCAAAAACTCAACTAGCGTTGTAGACGGGCTTCTGTCTTGCCTGTATTTGTAGGCTTGCAAAGTCCGGTACATCATATATATGCTTTGTTCACGAGTCAGTTGAGGGAGGGCATATATTGCCTCAGAGGGCAGGATTAGGTTAGAGGTTAAGACCAGGTGGAGTTATTTGAGACAGAAACATGATATGAGGAGTATACTTTTGAAGTCATGATATTTCATCGATCGGTAAGATTGAATATCCGCTCTTTCCGAACGAATGACTGAGTCTCGAACTGAGTTTGGTTCCTGGATCGTCGGGATCGTTTAGTGAATCCCAACGGTTGGCTCTGAAACTGTAATGCCAGATTCGAGACCAATCTTCTCTAACAGCTCCGAGGTTTCACTAATGGAGACTTGTTGAACGTGATCAGCAAAGTTTATACGAGGTGCAGACGGTAGTGGTGCTCTCATGAGGCGTCAGGCTGTTTGCCAATGGAAGAAAGTCGAATGATCATCACAAGTGGTGGGTGTGATCGAATAGACTCAAGAACTCCGGCAATTTTGGATACTAACGTGAGCCCTGACTTATTATCTAATCTCTTTGAACACTTTTACTTGCAAGTTTTAATGTTCTGCGGTCTGCGTTTGTCACCCAGGTCGTCGGTCGGTGATACCTGTAGTTTGAGGTATCTAGTCATGTCTTCAACGATCACGTGCAAACTAACTAGTACTGGGAGCAACCAACTTCAACTTCACGATTGACAAGTTTTTTCTGTACAATACCAGACACCAATGGTTTTTTTTCTTTCTTCTTGCTTTTCCTGTAACTGGAAAATTAATGGTATGTTCAGCCCTCTCGTGGCTGAACGACTAAACAAGATCGTTCCCTGATGCTGCCAAACTAGAGCTGTTCAATATCCTTCCATCTTGGCCAAATCCGGCGATCAGAGAGGACGGCCAGACCGGACCTCAGCCATCTAGACTCTCACGACATGGATCTTCTGGCAATCAAAAATGGATTAGGATCCAATTGTGGCTTTACATAGCAAAGGCTAGTAGCGCTGAAGAGGCCTGTTGTGCGAATATGATCGACCAACACAACACCAGCAAGTGCTGAACCCACATGAAGAACCAGCTAGCCACAGGTATGCTGGGCCAGAGCCACGATACCACTATTGTGGTGTTTGTCCTCCATCGTGGATCCGATCGAAAAGCAAAGCTTTATTGGGGGATTTGGAATATGACCTTGTTGTAGATCCAGTTTTATCTGGTTTGGGGGATGGAAATTTCCCACAGGGACAAACTAGAATCTTCTCAAGATACACCCCTTGGAGATTCTGCCAGGACTCCTGCTCTATTCATGTTAGACTCTACATGTTCTGTCACTCAAGATTGACGTGTTACAAGTTTATGGGAATTCGGGATCTGTGTCAACACCTTCATGGTCACAGGTGGTATGAGTGGGCAATACTCGGCCTCGCCTCATTACTGACTCTTCAACTAGGACCTAGACCTCCATTGTACCTGCATCAGAAGCTGCAGGAACAGGCGGGAGAGCTACAGGCCCCTTAACGCCTCCAAATCCATTCCGAGAGCCGGCCGCCATCGGTCACGTCTGGACCCTTGGCGTCCCCACGTGTATCAAGATTCACCTCTGGAAGTCTGTTACGCCCCAGTGATTGTCGTAAAATCGGCCTCCTGCGCCTCTTCGTCTCTCACTCTACCCACTAAACTCAAAAGATCAATTCACTATAAGGGACTCAACTCGTCCACTTCTCGATCTACGCCCGAATCAGCGAACGAGGAACTTATCCGTCTGAGCTGTTGAAATAGTCTCATCCTTAGCAGAACTGGCCGATTGATACTACCTTCGAGTTTGGCGTGTGTTAGGCGCTTAGTGGCGTCTGTCTACGACTCCTGCTTTGGGAAGGATTGTTCTTGTTGTGCCACGAGCTCATCGGTGTCCACTGGCGTCTTTCGCATCATGATGTTATTCAGTAGATTTGTGGCATTTTGGATGGGTACGGGGCTTCCGGTTCCTGAGTCTATGGCTGACATGGCTGAGTCTGTTAAGCTGATCGAGAGGCGAGGAGATTTTGCTTTGGCAGTTATGGAAACATCGCAAAGGATAAATATCTTCGAAACCCCCGTTTCATAACCAGGCTTTTCTCATCATCCAACAGCAACTTCTCAAGCAATCAGCTTACTCTCACACTCTCTTCTTCGGATCACATTCTTTCTTGTATTTGCCCTGGGGCGCCACTCTCTTTAAACATCAAGACTGCTTGCAACGACACTGAGGCACCGGATACCCGATCTCACTTACAACAGCCTCGACAGCTATTTGCAACTTTCTATCCTCTCATTTGATAACAACAACAAAACCATGTTCTCTTTTAGAACCATTGTCGCTGGTGCGACTATCGCCTTGGCTGGCATGGCCCAAGCCACCCACATCGACTACCCACCTTGTCTTGACCCTTTTCAGCCCTATGTTTCATCTGGATGTTACATGGATGGTGTTGAGGGTCATATGGGTGGTGCACTCATCTACCGCTCCGGTCAGAACCAGTACAACATGACTGTCGAGAAGTGTGTTGCCGAGTGCAAGGGTAACGGCTTCCGGTACGCTGGTCTCAAGTACTATGGTGTCTGTTACTGTGGTTCCACCGTTGGTGGCATTCAGCTTCCTGATAGCCAGTGCAACTATCCTTGCACCGGTGATAAAACCGAAACTTGCGGCAGTGACAATGCCTTCTCCATCTGGCAGGATCCCACTTTCAAGCTCACCAACCTTGGAGGAGTTGTTACTCAACTCCAAGGAGCTGTCCAGTCTATCGCCGGTTATAAGCCCAACGGTTGCTACACTGACAACTCCTCCAAGGGCCGCGCTCTGACATGGCCCATGGATATTGATGGTTCTCAGATGACCCCCACCACTTGCTTGACTGCCTGCGCTGACCAGGGCTTCCCTTTTGCTGGTCTTGAATATGGTGGTGAATGCTACTGCGGTAACGTCCTGGCCAACGACACGGTCAAGGCAGATGTTGGTGACTGCAACGTTCCTTGCAATGGTGACAATACCCTGCTCTGCGGTGGACCTAGTCGTTTGAGTGTCTACGTTGCTGAGGATCTGCTGTCTCTTCAGCCATGTGGCTGGAAGCCTAGCAACTCTGCCTCTGCCTCGGCTTCCGTTTCTCTCTGGCCATCTACCTCTACCACTTCCGCTACTACCTCAAGTGTTGCTACATCTAGTTCTTCAAGCACCATTCCTATCGTTAGCTCCGTATCGATTGTCACCAGCTCTTCCACAACATTGAGCACTTTAACCAGCACTACTGGAAATGGACAGTCTTCTACCACGGGTCAGCCTTCTGGTCCCTCTGGTCCCTCTGGTCCTTCTTCCACCAACGGCAATGGCCAGTCTACCACCAACAAGCCTTCCACTACATCCTGCAGCACCACTACTGGTCCTGCTATGTGTACCTCCACCGTTGTCGTACCCAACACCTGCGAGTACAAGTGTGGTAACTGGTGTGCGCCGTCTGTCCCTGACTTCCAGGATCAAAACAGTTGCCAGACCGCCTACAATAACTGCGCCAAGAACATTGCTGCTTGCTTCCAGAACGCTGGCTGGCCCGGCGCTCTGAACTGCTTCGACTTCTCTAAGTGGTGTGATGGTGTCCAGGGCTACTGTGCTTCTTCTTGCTCCCGTGGTCGTAGCTGCAACAAGCTTGGCTGCATTAAGAACAACGCTCCCACTGGCGGAAACAGTGCCTCGACTACTACCAGCGTCTATCCCTGCGCCGTCACCAGCACTTCCACGACTTCTTCGGCTGCTGCCACCTCTTGTGCTCCTCAGCCCACCAACATTTGCCAGCAGCCCAGCTCCAACATCTGGGGCTATGGTCCCGGCAACCCTGTCGGTGGCATTGAGCTGCCTCTTGTTGCCTGTAACGACTTGAAGAGCGACTTTTCTCAGAACCCCTTCAAGCTTTACACCAATACCAACTCCAATTCTTGCTCCTCTTATCGCCGCAACCAGCAGTCCAGCGCTTGCGCCGACGCCTGCAAGGCTCAGTACAACGCTTGTGTCGGTACCTATGTCCAGAGCTGCAAGAAGCTTAACACTCGCAGTGATAGCAGCAACTACTTCGACAAGCGATCTCACACCCACTTCCACAAGCGTGGACTCGAGAAGTCTGGTATCGAGCCTCGCTTCTTCAACCTATTCGGTAACGACCAGTGGCAGAGCGCTCAGAATAAGTGCTCCATCCAGTATGCTGACTGTCTCTGGGAGAACGCCAATGTCAATTTCAGCAGCCGCTGCCAGAACTTCGGCTCTGGTTTGTAAGGGATGTTCGCTCAGTGATCTGGAGTTTCGGATATTGGTGGCCAAAAGCGGTGGCGGTGTTTGGGTTTGAGCATGGGATGGGAAATATGGTTTGCTTTTCGGGTTGGTGTTTACTGCTGTTTCCACATACACTCGCTTGGTTGTCATTTTATTGATTGGACTATCGTTCGCTAAACAGAAGCTGCTTCGTTTTGATATGCCAACCCCCTCTCTTCTCCTTACTTTTGTGAACTTGATTATAACTCTCAGCGAAATTCTATCTCTGTGCTCGGCATCTCCATTGTCACAAGCTTTAAGAGTCTGTATGTCTGAATTAAGAGGCTACTCTTGCCATAACTTGATGAAGTGGATAAGTGTCCTTTGGGTATAGAATAGGATGTCAGAGGTAACTTATAGCACTCTCTCACCCAAAAATCTGTGAAGCTCAATTTTCGTCTCTCTAGGGTAAACTGTGACAATTTCTGAGGGCCACTCATCGTTGGTGTCATACTAAATTGACTGAAACTGCACCCTCGAGAACAAATAGGTTTCTCTATATTGCCTCCGGAACAAGAAGCACTTCTCGGTTGAATAACTTTTTCATTCCGTGTCGACATCATTGTTTTGAAAACTGGATATGTTCGACCTCAGCTTAGAATTCAAAGACCAAAGCAAAATCTAAACAGGGAACGAATCAACCATTGACGTATTACTTCATAATATGGCTTCACCCCCGGTTTATGATATAGAGTAATGGAGCAACAATGAGAACTACCTTACTGAAGATAAGTACCTGAGCTGCTGAGGTATATCCGACGTGAGATACATGCACAGTGTATAACACATACCTCGGAGAAATTGATACTGTACAAAACACGCGCCAGGGAAAGGTTCCAACTTAAGCCAAGACCCAACAAACGTATTTTGAAGAACCTCACCTTGTCCTTCCAGTTCAGAAATATCAGCGACATGAAAATACCACAAAAGGTAATGGAGGAGATTCTGAATAAAGTGGTAGATCTGTTATCAACATTATCTCCAGCTCAATGGTGCCAGAGTTTCTTCACACTTTCTGCCGCTCTCGTTTTAGCTCTACAGATTCTCCCCCAAGATGTCCGTAAGGCTATGATGGACTATGGTCCTCGAAGACCTAAAGATGGAAAGTCTAAGAGCAAGAAAGGAGACGATGAAAAGCAAAACTTCGCAGGATTGAGATCATTCTTGAAAAACCTAACAGAATATGGACAAGTGCCTCACTCGTGGTTCATGCACTTTTACATCACCTCAGTATCTCTGTCAGGCTTCTGGGCTTGGCAATACCTGACGAGGGGATCGGTGTTGAGGAGTATTGCTACTTGGCAGGACAGGGCTGGCAGATCATCGATGAGCCTAGAGCAAATATATATCGCATGGCTGCTCATGGCGTTGCAGGGCTCAAGGCGTTTATACGAGAGCCTGTTTGTATTCAAGCCAGGCTCGTCACCCATGTGGTTCATTCATTGGGCACTCGGTATTGCATTCTATGCCATTATAAGCCTCGCTGTCTGGATCGAGGGTTCCGGTACGCTACAAACCCGCCACAATTGGCCACCAGACACTGACAAGTCATAGGTGCAATTTTGTCATGTTGGGATTCTCCTAACCAGTCTCTTGAAATCCCACGGAGGTTGCTATCAGCTGTCCTATTCTATTCCGTTGCATACTTCAAGCAGAATCAATGCCACAGACATCTGGCCAGCCTCAAGAAGTACACACTTCCAACAGAAGGGTGGTTCAAATATCTCATTTGCCCTCACTATACTGCCGAGTGCATTCTGTATCTTGCAATTGCCTGGATCGCTGCGCCTCCAGGCGAGCTATTCAACAAGAGCATACTGACTGCTGTGGCGTTTGTGGCCGTGAACCTGGGCGCGACGGCAAAGGGCACAAAAGCATGGTATGAGAACAAGTTCGGCTCCGACAAAGTAGCCGACCGATGGATCATGATCCCACCTGTCTACTAGCTTTCTAGTCACACCCGAATCTTTTATCGTTTGAGGAAAATGCCGAGCTTGTTCGCGACTTTTGATACCTGAAGAACATCTCGATAAGTCAGGCTTGTGCGAGTTTGACGAATATTCCGGCCGTTGGCGTATACATCAGGAGAACCGAGCAGATCCCAGTTGGAAACAGTTTCGGCACTCAAGTCAACATCTTCTTCGATATCAGCAATCCCATGGAGATAGTCGGTATACAGCTCGCTAGTTGTAATGAGTAAACTACGGGGTTCCTGGAGGATTCTCCAAGCAGGTCCGGGATCAAGAGCGCCGTCCTCCTTGCTGCGATGCAGGTTCAGGCATAAGCTAGCTCCAAGGCTGACGGTGGCTACAACCGGCCAGTATGCTGCACCATCCTGTATGGTATAAGTACGAAAGAGAAAAGAGGGTGTATCGCTTGGTGAATACTCAACTTATGTGGCATGATACCAATACCAGGTGGATACTCATTGATGAGGACATGGTTCGGCTTCTTGTGAGGACTTCTTTCGAATATGTTGGCTGATGAGGAGTCATGGGATGGCATCGAGAGCAGACGGGATATGACTGGGTCTTGAAGCCAGAGAGGGAGGGGAGCTTCAAGGAGTTTGTTGTTGACGAGATCCGAAGGCCAGGTCTGAAGACGTCGTTTTGTAAGCTGTTTCCACCTGGGTTTGGGAGCGCTTGATATCTAGAGATGGTTGAGTCGTGCTCGGCTATTATTTGTATTACTGGATGCCAACCTTGTCCAAAATGTTCTGTTCTTCTTGCTCGGTTATGAAGTTAGGAATATAGTACGCCGCCTCTGGTAGAGTGTTAATCCTGGCGTGTTGCAGAGAAGGAGGCAGTAAGAAGACATCGTCTTTATCCGTGCTCGGTAAGGCAGAGCTTGAGGAATCCATCACGATCTTCTTGTCATTACAGCACGTAAAAGGTCAGGTGCGATTCTTTGACTTCGATGAGCTGTGATGTGATTCCACCACACGTCGAGAGCTTGATGTTGTGCTAGGTCCAAGATCAGCGAGGGAGAGAATTGTTAGTGGTTGAAGTTGCATCCAGGCAGAGACAGTGGAGATCCCCGGTACAGTTAAATATGGGGCACAGGGACTGATGAAACCAAAAGCCTACTAGGTACTAAGGTAAGTAAGTACCTTAGCTTGAGTAAAGACTCCATACACGGAACCTTGGATAAATACGAAATATTGATTGCCCAGAGACATAGTCACAAGGTGGGTAGCATAAACAAGACAACGGAATCTATAACCCAGGCAGTCAATCCCGAGCGAGTAAAATTATGAAGAGGGATTCAACATTATGCGCTACTGATCCAGCAGGCTAACGTTGCAAGTCTTTACTGGTATCCGTACATAAGTCAATCGTATCAAGGTGTCATCTTGGAGTTTCCTTACTGCAGGGGGGAACAAGCTAAACTACAATAGGTGTCTGTCTACCTTGGGTTCCTTGCCTTTATGGTAAGTGGATGGTTAATTGCATTGGATGCAAAGTAGGTACCTTACTAACGTACTGACACTGTTATAGGTACCAATGTCCTTAACATGAGAGCCCGAGCAAGAGAGTTGCTTCGTATTAGGTACACTACGCATAGACTCAATATACATGTCGCACGGTTTGAAAGAAAAGCGTATCTATTTCCTGTCATATTTAAATTAAATAAAGCCAGTCGGTTCTTTTTGACTGTGCTAGTTCAAATTGCGGTCTGGGTCTTTATGCCTGACCGGATAAGACTAAAAGACAGTACAGTACAAGTACGAAATGAGACTCAGCCAATCATAATACATCTTGGAGGCCGGGAGCCTTGCTCGGGCATTTGCTTTGGAGTTTCCAAATCCAATTCTTCCACTCTTCTCTTCCACTTCGCACTCATCCTCCCGTTAACCCCGTTTCAATCTCAATCTGGGTAAAAGGCCCGCCCAAAGACGCCGTGGTCCATCATCATTCATTCTCCTAAAACCACCATTATTACTCCGTACACCGTAGCTATCCCCATAAACAGGCTTTCTGGTCAGACTCAGCCCAGGCTAGGTGCCTGCAATTCACTATCCATCTCCCCTTCTAAACCGATGAATACAATCTCAACTTCTATTGGACTTAAACTCAACCGGGCTTAATCTAACCAACTCCACTCCCACTCCCAATTCTATCTCCAATCCGAAACCAATCACTCTCACTCACTCACTCACTCGCTCGCTCTCTCTCTTCTTCACCTTTACTCACATACCGTATTCTATTGCTCAACGCCTCCGACCGCCCAATTTCCAGACACTCCAAATCGCCCCTACGAATCAATCCTTCGCCTTTTCGCGTAGCCTTGTTTTTCTTCTTCTTTCTTTTTGCCCCCGCATTACCTCTCCTGGTTGACTGCGCTCTTATTCGCCTCTTCGGTTTTTGTCGTTCTCGCGCCCGACCGTTGCTTTTCCTCTTGGCTAAGTTCATAGGCATCAACGCCAGCGCGAGTCCATCGCCCCTTCAACTTCTGCCTATACCATCATCACCAGAATGGTGGTAGTCGCTAGTCGTCCTCGCAGGTAAATGTCATGGATGCGCAGAATGCTGCCCAGTCCGACCAGACGAGGCCTGCTGGCGACACACCTCAGCGGCCTGACTCGAAACCCGACACTTCAAAGTCGACTCCGCCGCCAGTAAGCCCCAAGCCTTCTGAGCCTGTTGACAAGGAGAAGGAAAAAGACAAGGATAAAGACACACGACGGAATGCGAATTCTTCATCTGCTGTCGACCAAGATGCGTTGGAAGACCGCGATTCAGACGCCGAAACCATTGTATTGCCTGGCAAGGATGGCCATTCCCCTTCAAAGGCGCGGAAGGTAAGACAGGAGGACAGGAGCGACGGTGATGCCGATGGTGATAACGATGGCGACGCACCCAAATCTTCAATCAAGGCTGCTGGTTATCGTCCAGAGCTTGAAAAGAGTTCGTCGTCAATCCACGCTCGCGGTGACCCTATCAAGAAGAAGCGCATTTCGTCGGCCCACATCGAACGCGAGAAGCTGTCACGGGGTAAAGATGCAGCTGCCTCCAGTGGCTTGAGCTCTGCACCAGCGTCTCCACCCCATCACCGGCAGCAACAGCGTCGCCGATTTGCGGATGACACGCATTCATCTTCCGACTCTGAACATTCCCATCCCCGACCCGCCAAGTCTATTCGCGAGAAGTTGAAATCGGGTGAAAACACGGCATCACATAAGCGCAAGAGTCTCAAAGTCGAGTCCGACGACGAAGGCGAGAGCCGCAAAGTCAGGCGGCAACGAACGACTAGCGCTAGCATCGATTCAGGTCGTCCGCAGAAGGAGCACAAGCCTCTCTCAGCAAAGTCACACCATGATTCACAGAACCGATCCATCTCACCACAGGCTCGATCTCACCGAAGGAGTGCATCCTCCCAGTTACCTGCCTATTCCTCCAACGGCCTCGGCCACAAGAAGAGGCGACTGCCTCCCCCGTTGCACGCCACTGACTATCACTCTGACGACTCATCAGCGAGTGGCAGTCCCCATCCTCGCAGTTCTAAACTACGTAATCTGGCGACGGCTGCCGCCGACACAAATGCCTCCCCTGCAAGGATGGCTCCTCATAAGAAGCATCTCGATGCCCACGGTCAGACATTACTTGCTCGCGCCTGTGCTCGAGGAGAGTACGAAGGGGCCAAGACACGTCTTACTGAGAGACCTGAAGATCTGAATGTAGCTGACTACGCGGGAAACACACCTCTTCAGATTGCAGCAATCAATGGATGCGAAGACATCGTCAAACTTCTGATCGACGCTGGATGCAATTTGGATTGTGTTAATTACGACAAGGACACACCACTTCTCGATGCGGTCGACAACGGCCATCTGGGCGTTGTCAAGTTACTACTAGACGCAGGCGTCAATCCTAGAAAGGCCAACGTGAACGGGGAAGAGCCAATCGATCGGGTGAGCGGCGAAACAGATAACGCCGAGGAGATTCGAGCCGCACTCATGGCTGCAAGGAAGCGAGCAGGAGATCGGAGGCGCACTTCAGAAGAACATCACTCCCACCAAGATCAAGATACGAGGGACTCGCATGCGCCTGATAGCCCACGCCATTCCCCGGCTACAAATTCCGGAACAAGTCGAAGAACAGGAAATATGCGCGCAACAAAGACGAGAAACGATCTATTGTATATGCCCCTCGATGACAAGACACTTCGACAGGCTGCGGGGCGAGGAGATGAGGAAACTGTCGCACGCATCTTGCAGGTAAAGGAAGGATGTAATGACCCCGCTGCTATGGTTGCTGCGGCTCGAGGTGGCCATGACTTGGTGATTCAGCTACTCCTAGGCCTCGGAGGCGCTAATCCTGATCCCCGACCTATTTTCAACGCTCAGCCCGAATTCGCGACGCCAATACTAGCAGCAATTGGGCAAGAGAATATCAAAGTCATAGAGTTACTTTTGGAACAAGCTGGATTCGATCCCACACGAAGGTACAGAGGAGAAACATACTACGAGATTGCCCGACACCGGGCTGGTCCAAACTGGAAGGACGAAGAGCATATGCTGAAGAACGCCTACGATGAGTTTAAGAGGAGCGGAAAGAAGACAAATTCTCGCCAGGAACAACAAGACGAAGCTTTGCGTGCCCGACGAGCAAAGGAGGAGGCCAGACAACATAAAAGGAGCCTCTCTAGTCCCGAGCCAAAGAAGAAGTCAAGCACCTCCAAGCTTACCAGCCCAAAAGAGAAACGAAGGTCGAATTCTATTACAAACCAGGGAGATGAGGGTTCAAAGCGTGGCCCAGGACGACCCCGTAAAGATGATCCCGTCCCGTCGATTAATATCTCAGACCGCGAACAATCCCCGACTATCTCGCAGAAACAGCTCAAAGCTAAACATGCTGATTCAGATGCTGCCGGCGTATCGTCAGATGGGGAAACACATAAACCGAGGAGGAAGCTTGTGTCCAAGGGGGAGCTTCGAGGGGAACGAGAGCGGCAACGTCGCGCCAGTATGGCTTCGAACGCTTCATCTTTTAAAGATCACCCAAGTAGCCCCCATGAGTCGAGGCATGAGGAGTCAGGCGACAAACACGAAAAGAACAGAGTCGAGAAACTATCCGAAAAGTACTATGATCGTACCAAGGCTCTCAAAAGAGACGAATCCCGGGATCGCTTGTCGGTGTCTGGCGATGGGTCGGCTAAGAGACATCGTGCCAGCATCACACCTGACCGACCCAGTAATGGTGACAAGGACGATAGTGAGGTTCCACCTAAGCGACGACGACTCGATAGCGAGACAAAGGAGAAACGGCCCAAACAACCTTTATCATCTGACGAGAGACCTCGAAAATCCAGCAATCTTCAAGACTCTTCTAAACCATCCTCAAAACCTAGTCATAAAAAGCACGATGAGGAGAAACGCGATAGGCGCGCTGACTCTCACCGTACAGACACCGACCGGGCCAGTAGTGTCGAAAAACAGATTCATGTCAAGTCAGAGGAGACTGACGTGGAGATGAAAGACGCCGATTCTATCAAGGCTGTGTCTGAGTCGGAACTGCAAGCGGCTCGAGCTAAGGAAGCCGAACAAGAGAAGCAAAAGCAAGCCGATGAGGAAGCCAAGAAGAAGGACGAGCTTCGGAAGAAGCATGAAGCACGCAAGAAAGAAGAAGAACGCAAGCGAGCTGAGGCTGAAGCCGTGAGGAAGCGTGAAGAGGAAGAGGAAAAGAAGCGAAAGGAGGAGGCTGCCGAAGAGGAGAGACTGCAAAAGGAATTAGAGGAGCGTGAAGCCGAGCGCAAACGCAAGGAGGAAGAAGAGCGCCAGCGACGAGAGGAGGAGGAGAAGAAGCAACGGCGCGAAGCCGAGGAGATGGCACGTCGAGAAGAGGCAGAAAAGCAACGCATCGAAGAAGAGAGAAAGAAGAAGGAGGAGGAGGAGCAGAAACAGCGAGAGGAAGAGGAGAGGCTGCATCGTGAGCAACTCGAGCGAGAAGCCGCCGAGGAAGCTCGCCGTCAACGCGAGGAAGAAGAGCGTAAAGAACGTGAGCGACGAGAACGTGCGCATCGTGAGGATATGGAACGCAAACGAGCGGCACGCGAAGCTGAACAGCGACGGTTCCGTGAGGAGCAAGAACGCATCCGCCTCGATAAACTGCCTCCCCTCCTACGATGGTTCGATACATGTCCCAACCCCAAGCTTCCGGTCCTTGCCGAGAAATTCAAGCGGATTCAAGGCTGCCGATACGACACAATTCGACACGAAGCTAATGGCACAGCCGAAGGTCGTGAGCAGTGGGTACTTAACACACATGTAGCTCTCCTTCTTGGCGAGAAGGATCTTGACCTCTCCCGGTGTAAGTCCATTAATCAAACTTATTGGGGTAGCCACTGATTATTTTTCATAGATACTGCTTGGGAACGGGCTCCTGTGACTGAACTAGCAAAGTTGTCTTTGTGGCGCGTTGAATGGCGTCTTTACTCTCTTCTCGATGACAGGCTGTGGGATCTCGGTCGACAACTCCCCGAATACTACGGTGACGAGGATCCCTCCGAATTAGGTTATGTGATGAAGCAACGACTAAAAGCAGAGGCTTGGGAGAAATTCCTCAATATGGACATGTTCTTTGTTAAGGTGACTACCAGCCACTCAAATATGCAAAAATGCGAAAAGCTAACATGATCAGGTGTCGGATCTTATGTATACTGTCCCCAACATACCACATCTTCGTAATATTCGTCTCGAAGTTGAATACCGGGAACTTCTGGAGACAGAAGCACAAAGCCGGGGATGGGGAACATGTCAGAAGTGGAAGCAGGATCCGGATTCTGCTCGGTACAACAGACTTGCTCCACGATGCAAGTACTATCAAAATGGCGTTTTCGTTGGCGAGGATAAACCCCAACTCGCACAAACAAGCAGTACGCCTTTTCTCGACAAGAAAGTCCCTCGACGCGGACTGGTGCAAGTGCTGCCAGACGACCCAGATTATACTAGAATATGCCTCGAACAAGGTCTAGAGCATCTCGTCAACGGTCACCTCAGCCCGCCTCTTGTCAATGGCATTCATTCATCACCAATGAGCCAGAAATCAATGACGTCGGGAGGACCCCCTATAAATGGGATGATCAAAGCTTTGACACCTGGTTTGACTTCAGAAAGCTTGACGATGTCGAATGCTGGGCACGAGACTCTTGTAAATGGCATCAACGGGAACACGAACGGAAACCCAGCCCACTGACAGTTAATGTCTCCAACAAGCAGCTGAACATACTTTGTTACATTATTGCGCCGAGTTTTCTTTGTTAGCATAATGATCATGGGTGGCGCAGAGACAGTGTAGGGCTATTGTATGGATTGTTATTTTTCTCAATAACTGGGGATGGTTGTTAGATGGTAAAGTTTTCCTCATGAGCATTGGATCGGAATACTATACAGGCCTATTGCACAAAGAGTTGGCCAGCGGCCGGTTGGATGATTATCTTTGAAAGATTAGCAAATAACGTCGGGAGGTGTGCAAGGTGTATTGCGTTGTTGCTGTTATGAACGAAGCATGACTGGTATCTTTATAGAGAAGCAAGCGGAGGGTTACTCGGGGTAAAGTCTTGTCTTGTCTTGTTGGTAGACAGACTCTGGCCACTGCATCTGACAGGCTGATACGCAACAATCAACAAAACTTTTTAAAAACACCAAAAACCAAGCCATTTTTATTGTGTGAGAAGAATGTCGATTGACTAATCCATCCCATTCCCTCAAAACCCAAGTGCCTTATTAGGTCGCTGATACGGTACTGACTTGAGCTTTCAACATACTAGGTATGTAAATGGTGGAGACAACTAAGTACTAATAAGTCAATTACCTATGTGATTGGCTGTGTGAGGGCCAAACTGGCTGACGTAGGTGTGGAGCAGGTTTTTCTGTCGTGCCCCGCCATTTTCAACTTTCTTTGCAATTTATCACCAAAAGTGCTTTTACACAACGAATTGGGCCACGAACCCAAGATCTGAGGCCAGACAACAACCGAATATCGACTCGAGACAGCTTCTGTAACTGCAACCGTAATCATGGCGACCACGGTGGACAAGGTATGTAGCTCTCCCACCAGAAAGACTATGCCTGCCACGATTTGGCTAACCCCGGTTCCCCTACCAGATCAAAGATATTGAGGCCGAAGTACGTGATATTCCAATCGAACCCTTCCGTAAAGGATGCCATCGGAGAAGATGATTGTCGAAAACCCAAGATGGGGGGCTCTTTATCGTATAGATAGCCGGGATCAGCTCTGACATGTGTAACCAGATGGCCAAAACCCAGAAGAACAAGGCGACTTCTTACCATTTGGGTCAGCTCAAGGCCAAGCTGGCCAAGCTCAAGCGCGAACTGTTGACTCCCAGCGGCGGAGGTGGTGGCGGAGGTGCTGGTTTCGATGTGGCCAGAACAGGCGTAGCCAGTATTGGCTTCATCGGCTTCCCTTCAGTGGGCAAGAGTACGCTCATGAGCAGACTCACAGGCCAACACTCGGAGGCTGCCGCCTACGAATTCACCACCTTGACCTCTGTGCCTGGTCAAGTTGTCTATAATGGTTAGTCGTTTGTGATATCCCTCCCCTCTCGCCTTCTCCATCCCCACCTCAACTTCGATCACCGGATGCGGTGCGGCGCGGCTATTTTCTTGTTCTCGGCTTGATGCCCAATCTCCAATTCCACCACCACCACCACCATCATCATCAGAAGGCGGCTCCTTTGTGCATCAAACATCGTGGCTGACATGGATTTCTCCAGGTGCCCCCTTGCAGATTATTGACCTTCCTGGTATCATTGAGGGTGCCAAGGATGGTCGAGGTCGAGGTCGACAAGTCATCGCCGTCGCTAAGACATGCCATCTGATCTTCATTGTGCTGGATGTCAATAAGCCTCTGACGGATAAGCGGGTGATTGAGGCGGAACTCGAGGGTTTCGGAATCCGCATCAATAAGGAACCCCCCAACATCACCTTCAGGAAGAAGGACAAGGGTGGCCTCAATATCACCAGCACCGTACCCCTGACACATATCGACCACGGCGAGATTAAGGCTGTCATGAGCGAATATCGCATCAATTCTGCGGACATTACAATCCGGTGTGACGCTACCGTTGATGACCTGATCGACGTTCTTGAGGCAAAGAGCAGAAGGTAAGGCTGAAGTGTAGAAGTGTGGCAAACACAGCTGCTTTCAAAGTCGAGATTATTTTAGTTTGCTAACTATCCAACTCTTCAGTTATATCCCAGTTGTCTACTGCCTGAACAAGATTGATTCCATCAGCATTGAGGAGCTTGACCTTCTCTATCGAATTCCCAATGCTGTCCCCATCAGTTCCGAGCATGGATGGAACATTGATGAGCTGATGGAGGCCATGTGGGACAAGCTAAACCTTGTCCGCGTGTACACAAAGCCCAAGGGCAAGCAGCCTGATTACTCTCAGCCTGTTGTGCTCCGATCTACGCGCTGCACTGTCGAAGATTTCGTAAGTCAGATCAGTTTCATGTGGCGGGCGCCCTTTTGGCCGTCCACTGCGGAGCCTCATGCCCAAAATCCAAATTAGGAATCCTGGATTGCTAATCGAGCTACCACCACATAGTGTAACGCCATTCACCGAAGCATTACGGAGGTGTTCAAGACGGCCATCGTTTATGGCAAGTCAGTCAAGCATCAGCCTCAACGCGTTGGCCTGGCTCACGAACTGTGTGATGAAGATGTTGGTAGGTTACCCCCGGAGTCTCCGACAACAACCCTCGACCCCAGCAGCAGCCTAAAGACAGATTGAGAATGGGGGAGACAAGTACTTAGTTAGGCCGCAGTGAGCTTGATCTACCCGATGCAGTTGGGATCTTGCTTCGTTGATGAGCCAGGGCGCCCATGATCCCAGTCTCAGTCTGATCCGTTGCACCAAGGCGGCCAGGGTTGCATTGTATCAAGCTCAGAGCAACGCTAACCATTGTAACAGTAACTATTGTCAAGCGATGAAGAGAAACCTTGGAGAGATTGAAGGGGATGATCCTGCGGCAACGCCAGAGGCTTGGAGAGCGAGCGAGACATTGCCAGATAGCTTGGACCGCCGCTTCGCATCAGACTGTTACTGCAGCCATGCCAGCCAGCCACCACTTTGCGACTCTGATTTAGCTCCGAGTGGCTGACGGAGAGAGAGAGAGAGAGAGGAGGAAACTTCACAGACCAGGGGAGCCCTGAGTGGGATGGATGGGATGCTGAATACTACTACGACAACAATAGCAGCAGCAGCAGCAGCAGCAGCAGCACAAATGTTCAATATGAACAGGGCTGACAATGGATGCACGGCTACGAGCACGTCTGGTTGACAAGAAGTATCGACTTGGCTCGACCAGGCACGATAATGATCGGCACAATAGTTTCCGGGGGAAGTCAGAAGTGGCGTGCACACTTACATGGTAGGTTGATGGGTCTAGAGCAGGGGAGAGAAATTTTGGGTCAACGGCAGACGTCGATGAACAAGGAAGGGCGAGATTTAAGATGAAGATGGAGAGCAACACGGAACGGAGTAACTACGGACGTGGATTTTATACGAAAGCCTATGTCCGGGTTAGTTTTCCGGGATAAAAGAAAAAGCAACATTGGGTATCGCGCAAGCAGAAAGTAAGCCCGGCAGTTACTATTGTTGGCTATCCAGTACACAAGGAGTTGCAATCAGTTTGCTCGAAAGATGAAACAAAATGAATGATTATCGATGATAAAAGGGCAGTCAGTCATCATCAATTAATGGATAGTAACAACATCTTGGCGGGTTGCCATTCATCCAGGCGGCTGAAATGCACAAAGGCTTGACCGAGCGGAGATATTTCCAATAACAAACCCGAGCAAGGTTTATGATACCGATTGTCGTAGCATGAGAGAGCTGACAGATAATAAATCAGCACTGCTACTGGGGGCGAGACTCAGCCGAATTGAAATCTATTGCTACAGCAGCAACAGGTCAATTGACGGGTATAGTTGCGGTAACGGTGACATTCAAATGGACAAAACGCCACCATCTGATGTCAACGAGCAGAAGCAGAGCGGGAATGGGATGCAGTTGGGAGTGGTTCGACCTGCATAGCCGAGGGCCTCTTGATCTGCGGCCGGATTGCCCAGCAGAAGCGTGGGATATGCAGCTGCAGCTGCAGCTACAGACGCAGACGCAGACGCAGGGGTTTGAGGCCTACGAATCAGGTTATGCGTGGATTCTTTCACGGCGCTTAAAGTCGAGACGTGGGACGAGACAGAGAGAAAAAGAGTAAAAAAGAGCGGTTGACTTTTAGGGCATTTCTAGGAGATTGTTCAACTTTATCGAGACAAGTGAAACAGACCATCAGTTGCCAAGGCGATTAGATGTACCTGAACCAGCCAAGGTACTAAGGTAAGGTACCTAGTATCTACTGAAGGCGAAAGGTGCTTTACAGAATGAAGAGAGAGAGAGAGAGAGAGGAGGCATGGAGTAGCATCAGAGGGTACTGTACACCTACACCTACCTACCTAAGGTACCTACAGTAGAGCATCAAACATGCGCTCCGTTCCGTCCACACCCCAGCTAGCTTTTCTTACTGATTAAGGGAACTTAGTTCTGCACCCGACCCTTAGCCTTTCTTGATGGCGGCGGTAAGAGACGATTCGTGAAAGGCGGAGAGCTCAAGCCTCTTTGGCGAGAAAAACGTCCCGAAGCCCACACCAGACTTAAACAAGGTTAGCGGGGAGCAAAAGGCCAGGGGGAGTTGAGCAGTAAACCAACAGCCAACAGTCTCTTCTTGCTAGGCCATCTCCACAATAAACCAAGGTAAGGTACCTAATAAGTTAGTGCACTCCATGAAAGTCACATCCATACCGGGCTAACATCACCAGCAGCAGCAGCAGGAGCAGCAGGTAGAGTGGCTGCAGAACAGGGGAAGTCATCTTTAAACTTTTTTTCTTTCTTTTCTTTCAATGAGGTATGATGAGATTCAAGGTTCATGGGCCATATTTACCCCACAAGTGTCTGTGTTATTCAATTTTTATTCAATAAAACATGTAGTGTTGTCTACCTTAGTACCTACTATAGGTAGCAGGTACAGATCTGGTGAATACAGCCTACTGCGGATATGAATATAAGTAGCAGCTTAGGCAGTAGGCAGTTGTTCGCGGCAGCAAGCTCAACAAATCCCAGATAAGGTTGAACCCGCTGTAAAAGCACAACATTAAGTCTAATAGTTACCTACCTGTGGCATCACTACATGTGAAAGGATTATAAGCATCATCATGTGCAGAACAACTGCAGTGTTGATAAGATCTAACTAGGTACCTAAATCGAAGTACAAGGGGTATATGGCGCCTAGGAAGAGTCCATCCATCCTCAAACCTACAACATGAACAAGGAACACCCCTGAGAGAGCATCAATTGATTGATTGATTGACTGAATAAACGACCCCTGACAGCGCCTGACTAGCAAACATTTGACCAAACACTATGCGAGGCACACGATTAATATCGACATCAAAGCAGAGAATTGCAGAGCGATTGGTTGATTTCGGCCACTTATACGCGAGTTTCTACACAGGGCGTTCAGTCTGCACATGGCTATGGATGACATTGGATGCTAAGTTAGCGCACCGGCATGATACTTCTGTCATGAGATGAGATGAAATGAGACTGCGCGAGTAGGCATACATCGTGCCTAGGTAACCTAGTAGATCTCTCCCGAGCGGCCGCGATCCTTTCTCGTCATCATCTTCCCACTTGGAAGGCCTCGTTTTTTCTTTCTGTGTGTGTTTTGTCTGCTTACGGTCAAGCTTGGCTGCTTCATACAGGGGCACCCGGAGCTCAGAATTCCTTGGTGAGTCCAGATCGATGTGGGCATATGAGGTAGGTAGGCAGGTCATACCTGCCTTGATTATTCATTCAGGTACCTTTGCAATTGCCCGTCCCATCCACGTTGCGAGTTACTGGTTGGTACCTTCCATGCTTCAATTTCTCAAACTCGATATCTCAAGGCAAGAAGATAGTAGGTACATACCTATTGAGATGGGCTAACGAGCCTCAGGACATCAGATGCATCCTCCTTTCTGTCTAACTGCATATCGACTCCTCACTGTTGTCTTCCATTATCAACTCTGTCAAAGTGAACCTCGAAGCAAACAACATATGCTAGACACCATCACATTACATTCGGCCTACCTACATAAGTACTAAAGCCCGGCGCCAGGGATCTTGATCAAACTGGCCAACTGGAACAACACCCGGAAGACGGATTGGACCGTCTATGGCGCGCCACAGCTTCCCCCCCTCCTTCACTATACTGTACATACAGAGTACGGAGTACCTCTGCATCTTCTTCTGCCCGTTCATCATCCATGCATTCATTTCATCTGTCGCATTGCATCGCATCGCAGGCCTGATCAGGATTCATAGCCAGGGACAAACAAACATTGACACAATACAGTAGAACAGGTATGGACACCTTTGCTGCCCAATCACAAAATATCTGGGGCAAGCTTATGTATAATGGTGGCCGTATCTGCATGTCCATTGATTGAACCCTCCGGAGATTGCGCTAACCGTCCCCATCAGGATCCAGCCAAGATGTTGATCCCTCATCCCGACTCTGTTGCTTGGATACGAACGTTGAAGAAATGAGAATGTTACTCGAGCAATCACCATCCCTCTCACAACTTACCATCACTCGCTCAGAAAAGCAGGACCACGACAAAAGACCGTAACGTGGACAAGGTAACGTACTCCAGTGCCATGGATGTCGGACATGGATGCTGATGGGATGGACTAGGGGCGGAATGGTAACTGGCCATGCCATGGGCGGCAGGCGGCGGCTGTCAAACTGGCTCCAGAAAGGGCCGTCCCACTAGCCTGCCTCTGTCCTTGACCTGACCTGACCTGACCTGTCCATGCCTAGTGCCTGGCAAGCCCCAGTTCAACCTTGCTCAGAGTAGCGGTCGATCTTCGTCTTCCATCCACAGTGAAGCCATGGCAAAGCAACACGACGCATCAAAATGCTACTGGGCACCGTACCATGGCACCTTCAGTCCATCTATGTATGTCCTTCAAGATACAGGATAGGATGGCATGGCTGGAAAATTTTGACCCACCGACATTCCAGTTGCGGCATCCCGAGCACAATGTCATCATGGTGCCGAGTAAGGTCTGACAGAAGAAGGGGGTTTGATAGTGGTGGTAGCGGTAGTCTTCATTTGACATGGTTGCTCGTCCGCATAAAGCGAACAAGACACACGAAACTATCAGCGATATGAACGAAACTACAATCGATAAGGTCAAACAGAAAGGAGCATCGTGAACTGGATTCACAATCAACATTGCAACTGGTCAGGATGAACTCAGCATGCATCTGACACCTTTTTGTCGGCTCCATCGCACACCTGATACGTCGAGATGAGGAAGAAATAAGGAAAAATTTCAACGTCAAGTGGACCACGTGCGCCGGTTTGTTACAGCGAGATAGTCAGCATGAATTCTCGCTTCTTCCTCCTCTTTTGGACTGGGCTTGCAAGTTTACAATGTGCCGTATCTCCACGGCCACGATATTTGTCTGCACTAGACCTTGACCCATAAGCCATGCCGCCCAATGGCTTCGGCCTGAGGGCTTGGAGGAGCAAGCAGATGCAAAAGACAAGGGTGCTCCAATGAAGCTTCGGGCCCATGTCTCTCCTCGTTAGCGATGAAGACCCTTAACATCCTGAGGCACTTGCTTTATTACACAAGTTATGGCTGTGCCATCCTGGGACCACGAGGCAAGCAAGCAAGGCGAGGCGAGGAGACACGAGAGGCAAGGGAGAAGGTCATGGGCTAGGGCATAAGATGAGGAACAAGGCTGAGCGAATCAAACAACTAAAGCCTTGTTCATCAGTCCCCTCCCTTCTCACTCACCCCATCTCCGCCCCGTCTTCCCTTTGAGACAGTCTGAGCTCCCGGATCTCGCTATCCGGTTGGGCTTTGACCTTGAAGTGCTCCG